CCACAAAGCCCAAAAACCAATGCCCATAAAATTAGCAGAAGTTTTTAAACATAAAAGTTGGATCAATTTTCAGACCACTTTTGTCTTCAAGGTACGGGTTTCAGGGAAGAGTACAGGAATGTCAGAAGCAGAGTTTCTGTTCTGAAAATCAACATTTCCCATCTAAAAATGTTTTGCTGAAGATTTCCAAGCCATTTTACTTCTAAAAAGACCAAAATCAGGAAGACACAGGAGACACTGAACTACAGAATTTCATTGTCACTTGAGGATTCTTCAATAGAGATAAACTAAGTTACCCCAAACAACTGCTCAGTGTGAAACTTTATTTCACTGACAAGTAAACATTTTATGGAATTAGTTTTTATCCAGAAAGTAGCGCTAAGGAGATGGGCAGACTTTTCCATATTTTATTGCCTAGTATCTTGCCCAGAAATCGCTACGCACCTAAGGTTCAAATTCACGTTTTACCTGATTCAGAATAATCAGAGATGAAAAGCTCTTCCCTGAATCAGACGGAGCAGGACTTGAACTTGGAGCTGCCCATACCCCAGACTAGTCCCCTCACTGGTGGGGATTCAGCACTCACATCTCTTGCCAAATTGCAACATTTGAACAGAATTCTGTTTATGCAAAAACATTCAAAAAGTGTTAGTTTTCATTCCACTGTGGAATTGAAACCAAACTTTGAAACCTCAGAATTGCTGCAAAATTGCTAGTCAGCTCAAATGGCTGCTTTGTGTCTCGGAGCTTGCAAAATAACTAGATCACAGTCTCAGCTCTGGGCCCATATTTTGTGACTGTGTGTTTCTGGGGATTCTTAAAAGACACTAGACAAGCTTGCAACACATCAGTGCCGATATGTTTAACCTGAGTTCTGCCACTATCAAAGATATTCTTGCCCTGCTGTGTGCCGTTGACTAGCAGTTGAATAGGCAGCAACTTTGGAACTCACACAAGCAGCAAACAGCACTGAAGTAGTTCTGTCAGGACTGGCTGTGCATTTCTGCTGCCCTGTGCGTTGAAGTATGGGTCCTAATTTTATTGCAGTTGTTGTATTTCTTGTTTCCGAGGTTCAGCGACACCAAAGTTCAATCAAAGGCACCTAACCCAACCTAAAGAATTTGCAGGCAAAACCATGTTGTGCTTTGAAGCTTCCTGACTTGAATAGGGGCTGTACAGTGTTTCCATTTTCTTGGCACCTGAGCCCTATTCCCTAAAGGCTTAGGTAGTGTTAGGGGTTGTGCAGATGGCTTGTGCTTAGTTTAAACCACATACAGGAAGCTTTCTTTTAGCTCAACTTCTCTATTGTTATGCTATATTAATAGGCTCTTTTGAAGCTTAAGAAAGGACTGATCTGCCTAAATAATAGTTCTGGGTGGGGAAAGTTATTTAGGAGCACATTTGCAAAACCTGAAAGGCTGTTTCTTTTAACCATTTTCTTGCCTGCCTGTGCAGCCAGGTTTTGCTCATTCCAGTGCTTAGAAAGAGGAAGCTGCACTCCCATTTTTGAAATTGTGGGGCTTGAGTCATAGGTATTTATTTATAAGCAAATGAACATATTTATTCTCAAATTCCTGCAGTCAAGCCAGAAAATGCTGGCTAGCCACTATGCAAACATAGAGATATGCTCTGAATTTTGATCCTGCCCTGACTTTGTACACAGATTCAACAGAGAAGTACCCCAACCTTAGATTGTGCTGGAAGGGCTGATTTTGTACTGCTCATATCAGCGGTCAAAATCAAAGGCAGTTCCAGAAGTGCCTTGCTTGGACCAACCCTCAGTGCCACCAGCTCTTTGCTGCTGCTGTCCCCTTTAATTCTGCTGGCAGGCAGCTCAGTCCCCTCCTAAGCTTGGGGTTCAGCCTTGTCAGTCCTGGCACTCAGTTCTCCCTGTTGGGTGCTCATTCTTGCACGTCCCAAGCCTTGAGTGGGACTTCTCTAGTGTCTTAAAAACTGAAAATGAGCACACCCTTTGCCCCTGTCGCTTTAGGTGGGGACGTGCCACTGTACGCTTTTCACCCGCTGCCTCCCTACTTCCTCCAAGGAACTGTGCCAAAGCGGATGTGTCACTTTGCAGCAGGGGTGCAGGACAGTACGGTGCTCAGGGGAAGTGGCCAAACTGCTCAGCTTCTGCTTTGATTAAAATATTTTTTTTCATTCTTTTTCAAGTGACATTTGCAACATCAACAGTTTCTGTCTTCCACCCAGAAATTCCTCTGCACCACAAGCAGAGCTTTCTCTTGTGCAAAAAAGAGGAAGAGCCAAAGGGGCTGTGAAGTCTGCTGGAGACTTCTCAGCTGTAGGCCAAAATAATACAGCCTGCTCTAGGGCTTTACAGGAGTGATCACAGACCCTCACACAGGTAGCTGTAACAGTCAAGGAGTGGCAGTTTTTGTGTGAGTTTCTTCTCATTTAGAGCTGAACATGCACCCAACTACCTCCAGCTGCTCGGACTCATGGCGAGAAATTTGAAAGAGAACTAGTATGTTTTGTTTTTTTTCTCACTCATTTAGAAAGTCATTTGTATTTCAGATGTCTGGGCTACATATTACAGCTCTGTGGCAAAGAAAAAGGACTTAAATGGCCCTAAAGGGCATGTTCATTTTTATTAAGAAGTATGGTATAGATGACATATTACTCAGTTCCAAGAGCAGAGTCCAAACTTCAAACATGCTTTCTTGTGATCAAGAAAAAAACAACAGAACAGAACCCCACACATTCACCAAAACTATGTTATCTGATTGTTACAGATCATAGTTGCATTCATGCAGTTGTGGTCTGCTTGCAGCCAAAACTCCGAAACAGCCATCCTGCAACATAGTCAGTTCTCCTCCGCTGGGGTGTTTCCCAAGTTCTTTGTAAAGCAGATTTTCTGAGAGCGAAGAATGCACATGGGAATAAGCAATGCAAATCTTCTGTTTACTGGCAGTGACATTGGATTTCTAAATATATTCCCCCAGTAAGGGCCATAACAAAACCTGAGGCTTTCTCCCCCTCTTCAACGTGTTGAAAAGCAGAAGGGGTGCCTGTAATCTGTGATGAATTTTTAAGTACTTTTTAATTTAAATTTTAAAAAGTTTAAAATTTACAAACATTTTGTTGCCAAGGGCTATCACTTGAGATAAGCATTGTGGTTCACGTGAGTGTGGAAGAAAGGATTGGTTTAAAACGCTCTTTTGTATAAATGAAGGAAATGCATTCTTTGTAGGTGTTGGTAGTGAATGCCACTGACCTGTGCTAGCCAGGAAAGTCAGTGCTAGAAAGGCACTTCCTCTTCCTTGAAACCCTATGAGAAAGACTAGAATTGAATTACTTGCCTTACATCTGGTTGACGAACGTTTCAAACAGAGGAAGCACATCCTGGTTCAGGATTTAGGCTTTCTGCCAAATAAAGAAGAATATACTCTTCAGATGTCCCATCACCTGCCTTTGAATAGCTGATGGCTCCTGCTTCTTGCCAGCTAACTGTGTTTCCAATGGAAAAGTGATTACAAGAGAAATTGGAGGATCAGAGGTAGCGCTTGTTCCAATCGTAAAATCTTCTCCCCTACCCGTTTCAGCATTGCTCACCTTCATTTTGAGAGGCACAGAGTAGGGGAGGCAGAGGCTTGTGGCTAATGTAGTTAGTGGCAACTTCCCTTCAGAGCTTATTAAACTTTTCCTTTTCATATGGTCTTATTTGGCCTGATACACAGAACCTGAGTCAGCGACGTTGCTGTAAGCATCCGCCAGTGTCGTGCTGCCAACACAAGCCACTTGCTTAACGCTGGTGGAAGCTTCATTTGTTTTAGTCTGTTCAGGTTAAACTCCCACGGCTCCTTCCAATCAATCCCCTCCCTCATGGAAAGATAATACAGTACATTTGCTCTGACTCAAAGGAAAAAAAGAGGCTGGGAGAGTACATTTCCGTGTGTCCGATCAAATTGGGTTCAGATAAACTCTGACCCTCCTTCTTTAATCTAGTTTCAGAATACAACTGTTCCCTTTTAAACTGTTTGTCTTCCCTAAGAAATACTGAACTAGAAGGTAACTTCTACAGGTGACAGAGCAGCTCTCACCTCTAGAATAATGATCTGTACCATTCCCAGAACATCTCCCTGTTCTAGAGCATGTCCCTGTTGTTCTTCTGTTCCCTATATGTTTGTCCTAAGAATGTGTTAGTGTGTGGACTGCACCAGCTAGGGCGTTTGGAGTGAACCATCTACTGCTTTACAACAGAACAGCCAGTGTACAGCCAGCAAGTGACACACAGAGGAACTTTTCAAATACATAAATCCATGCAAAAAGTACGTGGGGGGGTGACAATTCTGATGTGTCATGCATGCCTGATTGTGCCTGCAGGATTCAAACACCTGTGTACACACAGGTGTTCGAATTTGTTCTAGCAACGCTCCTGCACATATATCAAAGTATGAGAATGGCTTTTGTTTCTCAGATGTGCATGCAGGCATACGTATTGTGCTTGAATATTAACATGCAGTAGTTGTGTGTGGACAGGTTTCCTGAAGTTGTCTTTGCATGGATCCTGATGAAATATACCGGATCTGGATTGATAACTGGGCAAGTGGGAATTCACATGCTGCATTGTCTATTTATTTATCTGAAAATTTATGTGTTCTAGTAATTACTGGTTAAATGGGCAGATTTGTCAAGAGTACATCAACAGAGGAGGTGCAGGAGACTTTGGCTGAAGAAAGTGAAGGTTTCATCCATAATGTATTAAGAGCCTGAGAGAAGAACAAAGCTATTAAATTACATTAGGTTCTTGCTCATTCAGTTCTGGCTTTTTCTAAAATAAGCAGACAGGGCAGTCCTGGTAAATGGAGGCCTATATGCAAAACAACATTTTGAAGTAAGAAAGCAGTGTCAATTTTTATTATTTACTGTTAGTGGAGAAGATCATGTATTGCACTCTGGATAAAAACTATAATTAATGACAGCCTCCTGTATATGTACATTCAATGTATGCCTGCCTTCTGTTCTTCTTTATAGATGACCCTCATAAGCCAGAGGAGAAAGATGAAATTTCCAAAGTCACAATCATAAGTCTTGTCCCATTACTGGTGATTTCTGTTGCTGTGATTGTTATCTTTTATGCTTACCGCACTCATAAGAAGAGGAAGCTCAACAAGGCATGGGAGAAGAATGTTAAGCCCAGGAAACATAAGGACTGCAGTGATGTTTGTGCCATTATGTTAGATGATGACCGCTCAGACATCAGCTCTACCTGTGCCAATAACATCAACCACAACACAGAATTGCTGCCCATTGAATTGGACATTGTTGTTGGCAAAGGAAGGTTTGCTGAAGTGTATAAAGCCAAATTGAAGCAAAACACATCAGAGCAGTATGAAACTGTGGCAGTCAAGATTTTCCCCTATGAAGAATATGCCTCCTGGAAAACTGAGAAAGACATTTTTTCAGATGCAAACCTCAAGCATGAGAACATCCTCCAATTCTTGACTGCAGAGGAGCGTAAGACAGATCTTGGTAAACAGTATTGGTTGATCACTGCCTTCCATGCTAGAGGAAACTTGCAGGAATATCTCACACGGCACATTATCAGCTGGGAGGACCTCTGGAAGCTGGGTGGGTCCTTGGCCCGAGGGATTGCCCATCTGCATAGTGATCACACACCCTGTGGTCGCCCCAAAACACCTATCGTGCACAGAGACCTAAAGAGTTCCAATATCCTGGTTAAAAATGATTTAACCTGCTGTCTCTGTGACTTTGGGTTATCCCTGAGGCTGGATCCTTCTCTGTCTGTGGATGACTTGGCTAACAGTGGGCAGGTAAGTTAAAAGTTTGAAG